ACAACCCAGCCCTAACCGTCGCCACTATAGGGTTCTGGAAGCGCGAAAGCATGACCACGAGGCCAACAGCTTGTCGGGGCGACACCGTCCGACCAACTTCACCATGGTGCTGTCAGGTGCTAAGCCACCGCCACACTTTCTATATACGCTCCAATGCACCGCTGCCAGTACTTCTAGGAGCATCGCGTTCCGCTGTTGTGGCCCGACGTACCACACGGGTGGCACCTCAACCCCGATAGGGTTCCGATGCCAGCGGTGTCGACCTTAGGCCGCGCGCGGCTGGCGGAGATCTGTCGTAGCCGTGCTCGACTCTCGGCCGACCTCCACTGTTGAAAGGATCTATATGGTCGACTAGAGGGGGTGAATAGGCAAATAACTAGACTCAATGACGCTAGTAGAACGACCTCCTAGGGACATCATTTACCAAGACACTCAATGAGGAGGCGGCAACTAGGAGAATCCCATGCTGGAGGCCACTCCGGCCCCGGCGGCCACCCGTCCTCACGTTGGTGACCACTCTGGCACTAGCGGCCATGCTCCTCTTGGTCAGTGACTTCTTTTGGATCAAGATAGATAACCTCTTGGGGCCTGTCACGTTATTTCATCATGCCGCCGGTCACCCTCAACTTTGCTCGTGGCAAAGATTTTCAGGTGGCTGAGGAGGAACTTTAAGAGAAGTTGGCCAAGAGGCCAAAGAACAAAGAAAAGGAAAAGGAGGAATTGGCCAAGGTCCCCAAGGCCAAGAATACCAGCAATTCCAATGCCGGTGACCCATGATTAGCCAAATATGTAATATGGGAAATTATGGGACTGTGGAAACTTTTGTAATAATTATGTTGGGTGAACTTAAAAGTGGTACTAAAGAGTCTTGGAAATGTGGCAGACACTTTTGTGGTTAGAACCAAAGGCAGTATGTGATGTTATGCTATGATATACTGAAATTAGTGGCTCTGAATTTGATCCTAATGTTTTTGCTTGCTTGTGTGATTGGAAAGGTTAAGAAAGTTGATGTATGTCACTCCCTTATGCCATGTGATATCCATTACTATTGCTCTGATGATTATAGTTTGGATATGGTGAATGTATTTCTGTTGGCCTACATCAAAGAGAACAGTTTGAACAACATGATATAGACACTAATATTTTGAGGACTACATACCAGACAATACTCAAGGGATGGACCTTGAGGGGAGACACAAAAACCACACTCATTCTATATGAGTAACAACATATCTTGGAATATTTTAAATTGGAACATCAGAGGAATTAATGCTGCAGAAAAGTGGCTTGCCATAAAACAGAAAATTAAGGAAAGTGCTGCTGGGATTATGTGTCTTTAGGAAACAAAAGAGAAGCTTTTGATCTTGCCTATATTGGTAAATTCTGTCCTAAAAGGTTCAAGAAATCTGAGTTCCTGCCATCTATTGGAGCATCTGGAAGTTTACTCATTGCATGGAATGGTTCATTATTTCAAGGAGAGGTTTTATTTCAAAATAGATTATCCATCTCTGTTAAGCTCACTTGCACCAGCTCCACACAATCCTGGATACTAACAAACATTTATGGACCATGTGATCAAGCTGAAAAAGTTGAATTCCTCATTTGGTTTAGTAACGTTGAGATGCCTTGTGAAGGTGCATGCATAAGCCGGACCCGAACCCCCCTCCCTCGCGTCGCCCCTCTCGGGCGGCTCGAGGGCGACAACCCTAGATCTCGCCGCCTCCCCCCTTCCTCCCCTCCCTCCTCGCCTCCACCGGCGAAGGGCAAGCCCGGGGCGTCGCCAAGGAAGGTGGCGGCGGGGCCTCTGCTGCTCCGTTTCTCCAGCGGGGGGCGTCGGATTCCGGGGCGGCGGCCTCGTTCGGTGAGGCGCCACCGTCTCCTCGGCTGGTGGTGGCGCGGGTGTGGTCCGGTGGGCTTGGCTGCGCGGGCAGCAAGCTCCCCGGCGGACGAGATCCGCGGCGCCGGCGGTGGGGCTTCTGGCCTCTTCGGCTCCTGATCTGGCCGCCCCTTCCCCCTTTTGCTGCTCTGCGTGCTCCACCCCTTCAGATCTGGTCCGGGTCGACTTGGTTCTCTGGTGCCTGGAGCTGGATGTGGTGTTGGTGGTGTGGAGCCTTGACCGGGAGAAATCCATGGCGGCGACGTCCATGGACGCCGCTCCCCTTCTTGGAGGTGCCATTCAGGTCTTTTGCTCCACCCTCCCCTTCCCCTAGCCTCCCGGGTGAAAGCTCGAACTTTGTTGGGCGGCGACGGTGCTCTTTGCTCCGTTTGCTTCTTGAAGTCGTCGCCTTGGATGTTTTTTGGATTGTGGGCACTACGGTGTGGTGGTTGTCGGGCGGTGGCGACTGTGTGCCCCAAGTGGCGGCGGCGGCAGCTTGGCAGGTCCGGCAGTGTTCGGGTTTCTTCTGGTGCTCTCTGTGCAACTGGTGACAGCTTGGTCCGGCGGCCTCTGGCCAGGAGGGGATCGGGTTCCCCTCCTCCGGCGGCTACAGTAGTGCAAGTTGTGAGTGCCGGAGCGTCATTCCTCGGCCTTGGCCCTGCCTCCTCGTTGCTCCGTCCTCCCTGGACACCCTGTTGTTGTCTGACCGGCATCTTTCTCCTCTCCAAAGGATCATCAGTGGGCAGCGGTGATGCGTTGTTTCTGGTGAAGTTTCTTAGTCATGTAGGATGTGCTCTATTCCTACTCCTTCTGGTTGCATCCTTCCATCCATGTTCTAGGGTGAGCAACCCATATGTCGATGGTTCGGCGCCTTTCGAGCTAGGCGAGGAGGCAGGGGCCTCTTTCGACAGTGGGAATGGATGGTGATGTTGTTCCAGGGCTTTGGTGTTTGGTGCTGTCATAGCCTATCCTCGACAGCGGGCGCTTCCCGGAGCCCCATTTCTCCTTCCCTGGTGAGCCTTGGGTGGACGAGGGCCTCTGCGTGCTTCAGCTCATGCTTATCATGTGCTATCTCCTAGCTGTAGTGTGTGAGGTTTTGAGAGTTGCCTTCCAGCACCCTTGTATCTTGCCGTGTTTTGGTTTTTTTGTTTGTTCGAGTTTGTAATGCAGTGGTTGTAATCCTGGCCGGTTGATGGCTTTGTTAATTCAAAGCCGGGCTCTCCTTGAGCCTTCGTTCTAAAAAGATGCCTTGTGAAGATGACTGGATTATCATGGGAGACTTTTAACTTTATTAGGTCTCCAATAGACAGAAATAAACCTGGTGGGGATGTCAATCAGATGCTTCTTTTTAATGAAGCCATCAGTAACCTAGGTTTATTGGAGCTTTCTTTAAAAGGAAGACAATTCAGCTGAAGCAATATGCAAGAAAATCCTTTGCTTGAAAAATTGGACTGGTTCTTTACATCTGCTGCTTGGATGACCTCATACCCAGACACTACTGCTCTGCCACTTGCTAGACCTATCTCTGATCATCTTCCTTGTATGATCAAAGTGGGTACATCCATTCCAAAAAAATTAGGTTTGAAAATTATTGGTTGGGGCATAGCTCATTCAAAGAATTAGTCAAAAATGCCTGGGATATTCCCGTAGGTTTTTCTGACCCTGCAAAGATCATCAATGCAAAACTCAAGCATCTTAGAAGGAGTATAAAACTATGGGTAAAAAATGTACCCTTCCTAAGGAAACAAATTGCTGAAGTTAATGAATGTATTTATCTTTTGGACTTCTTTGAAGATTTTAGAATGCTAAGTACTTTTGAATGGAATTGCAGAAAGATGTTAAAATAGCACCTTTTGATCATTCTTAACAATCAGAAGAAATATTGGAAACAGAGAGGGAAAATAAAGGGAGTAAAATTTGGGCATGAGAATACAAAATTCTTTCATACCAAGGCATCCATTAACTTCAGGCAAAATAAAATTGTAATGCTTAGAAATGAGGAGCATATTG